TTGTTTTATAATTTTTAATTTTTCCATCAGATTACTTTTTGGTGTGCTTTTTTTAAGTTTTAGATAGGTATCCTATTTTTTAAGTTCTGCAAGCTGTTATCTTTAATATTTTCATGTTGTAAAATCAAAAGTGAAATGGGATGTCTGTGTCTCTCTTTTCTGACACAAGGAGTTTCATAAACTTATCATTTTGCTTCTTCTTGCCAAATGCATTTTCATCCTCTTAACCTTACACATGGAGCCATGGTGGTGCAGTGGTTAAGAGCTCAGCTGCCAACCAAAAAGTTGGCAGTCTCAATCTACCAGCTACTCCTTGGAAACCCTATGGGGCAGTTATACTCTGTCCCACATGGTCACTATGAGTCAGAATCAATTCAACGGTAATGGGTATAGTTTGGTTTGGAACCTTACACATAAACCACAACTTCCTGGGTTTTGTTAACAAAATTAGAAATAGAAGAACTCTTTTAGTATTGAAAAATTCTTTCTTGTAGTACATATATTATTTATAAAATTTTAAGAAAAAATACTGAAGACATTCAAAGTGATATAAAAAAATTAAACTAGTTGCTGTTGAGTCAGTTCCAACTTATGGCCACCCTACGTGTGTCAGAGTAAGACTGTGTTCCACAGGGTTTTCAATGGCTGAGTTTTCAGAAGTAGACTGCCATACCTTTCTTCCAAGGCACCTCTGGGTAGACTCAAACCACCGACCTTGCAGTTAGTAGTCAAGCATGTTAACCGTTTGCAACGCCCATAAAGTCAAAACTCAAGGACCTGACACTCAGTTTCATAAATGAGTATCATGTATATAGGCCTCAGGAACCTCTTCCCAGCCAGAAAGAAACACTTTCCTGATTTATGTTGCCATTCTGATAGTTTTTTTTTTTAAATGTATACTACTTTTAACATTATACATATTCTCTCTTGAGATATATTTTGACTTTTGCATTTAATATTTAAACTCCTTTACAATTCTTTGGTCTTATTTCTATTTTAACTGACTTTAGCTTACCTGAGAATCCTATTGTACCATGACTTCCCTATACTATGGCCCTTCATTTTGCCTCATATCTTACTGGATGATGTAGATCTTTAAGAAATTTTTTGAAAGGGTTCAGGGAGAGAGCATTTTCCAAGGCTTTGCATATCTGAGAATTTTGTTGCCTTCACACATAAGGACAATGTGGTCACATATAATATTCTTAAAACACAATGTGCTTTGTCTCCAAACTCTTTCTTCCCTTCCGGTATTTTATGAGTCAGCAAAGAAAGTCTGAATCAAACTGGATTTTACCGTTTTGTTGATAACTAATTTTTCCCCATGCCTTAATGTTTTAGGAAATTTTTTTATGTATCCTTGTAATTCAAAATTTTTGCTAGGATATATTCAATATGATTTAGCCTAGAACAGGGTAAGCTCTTTCAATATGATGCACAGTTCTTTCTTAAGCTCAGAAAAGATTTATGCTTTAAAACTCTGATGGTTGCTTCTGCTCCATTTGTTTTAGATCTTCCATCAGGAAACCCATGTGTTGGCGTTATGCTTTCTGCCCTCCATATAGACCATCCTTAAACACACCCTTTGATCTTTGGTCAACTTTGTTTTCCACATCACTGATTTAATTTTCTGCAACAATAAGTCTACTCCTCATGGCCTCCTGCATGGTTTGTTTGTCTTTTAATTGAGGTATAATTAAGAGTCCCTGGGTGGTGCAAATGGTTAACACACTCAGTTACTAAATGAAAGGTTGGAGGTTTGAGTCCACGCAGAGATGCTTCGGAAGAAAAGCATGGTGATCTAATTCTGAAAAATCAGCCATTGATAACTCTATGGAGCACTGTTCTACTCTGACACACATGGGGTTGCCAGGAGTTGGAACTGACTAGACACAACTAGGTGGTTATAATTAAGATAGAATAAAATACACACATCTTAGGTGTTTAGTTTGATGTTGACAATTATATATACCTACTTACCTGCCTTTCAAAAACACACACTATTAAACATTTCTATCACTTCGGCAAATTCCCTCATGGCCTTTTCCAGTCAATCCCCCTACCCGCCACTCCCACCCCTTGGCAACCACTTTCTGATTTCTATCAACATAGGTTAGGTGCACAGAATGGCACAAATGTGCTCAGCTATTAACCTAAAGGTTGGCAGTTGGAACTCAACCAGTGGCACCAAGAAAGAAAGGCCAGGTGATCTGCTTCCATAAAGATTACAGCCAAGAAAACTCTTAGAGTAGTTGTCCTCTGTTACTGCAGAAAATGATGAAAAGCAGCATCGTGAGCATGCATATGTCCTGATGCTCTTAAACATCGGGAAGACAAATGTATCAAAAATGGGAAATGAGTCCTTGTGCCCCTGTACCAATTATTTATTTATTTTTGGGGTTTTAATTTTTAGTTCAGTCACACACAGTAATAAAAGGAGGCTCATGGTGAATGTCTAGACCTTTGGGCCTGACTCACACCTTTGAAGTGAGCAGCACTGCATACACTCAGGAAAACCAATTAAAATGTGCTGTGAAAGAAGGAGACAAACATTGTCCACAAAGACACTGTTTTACATCTACATTCTACATCCTAAGACCCCAGTGAGTAGAGATTGGGGTTTTAAAAGCTTGCAAGTGGCCATCTAAGTGACCATAACAACAGCATAGAGGCCAGGATTTAAATAAATAAATAAATAAATAAAGGCGGCAACACTACTTTATCAACCACTTAGAATGTCCTTCAGTGTCGAGCATCCAGACCACCTGTGGGAATTGAGGAGTCTCATTTTGCTAAATACTACTTAAAAGCATCTACTGGTCTCTGCCCATCCAGAGCAAAGAAGAGTGAAGAAAATCAAAGTCTCAAGGAAACAATTAGTCTAAAGAACTAATGGACCACATGAACCACAGCCTTCACTAGCCTGAGACCAGAAGAACTCAATTGTGCTTGGCTACCAATACCAACCGTTCTGACTGGGATCACAGAAGGAGGTCTTGGACAGAACAGAGCAGGAAAAAAATATAGAACAAAATTAAAATTCATAAAAAAGACCAGACTTACTGATCTGATAGAAACTGATGGAACCCCAGAGACTATGGCTCTTAAACATCCTTCAAACCTAGAACTGAACCCACTCCCGGAGATCACTTTCCAGCCAAACAATAGACAGGCCTATAACGTGAATGATAACACCCATGAAGAACATGCTTCTCGGAACAATCAACCATTGTTGTTGTTAGGTGCCATAGAGTTGGTTCCGACTCATAGCCACCCTATGTACAACAGAATGAAACACTGCCCAGTCCGAAGCCATCCTCACGATCGTTGTTACGCTTGAGCCCACTGTTGCAGACACTGTGTCAATCCATCTCCATGAGGATCTTCCTCTTTTTTGCTGACTTGCAAACTTTACCAAGTATGATGTCCTTCTCTAGGGACTGGTCCCTCCTGATAACATATCCAAAGTATGTGAGACAAAGTCTTGCCAACCTTGCTTCTAAGGAGCATTCTGGCTGTACTTCCTCCAAGACAGATTTGTTCATTCTTCTGGCAGTCCATGGTATATTCAATATCCTTTGCCAACACCATAATTCAAAGGCCTCAATTCTTCTTCAGTCTTCCTTATTCATTTCCAGCTTTCGCATGCATACGAGGCGACTGAAAACACCATGGCTTGGGTCAGGTGCACCAACCAGATGAGTCCAACAGGGCACCATTTGCCCAAAAACAAAGTTCAGAAAGCAGGAAAGGGCAGGAAAGATGGGTGAATGGAAACGGGGAACTCAGGGAGGAAGTGGGTAGAGTGTGTCACACTGAGGATTGCAACTAATGTCATGAAACAAAAAATGTATAAATTATTGAATGGGAAAATAATTTGCTCTGTAAACTTCCACCTAATCACAATAAAATGTCAAAAAATAAAAAGATACATTGCACACCAATCGTACCTCAAGAACATAATGGACAACTCACTCTCAAATGGGACCATAACAACAGCATAGAGGCCAGGATTTAAATAAATAAATAAATAAATAAAGGCGGCAACACTACTTTATCAACCACTTAGAATGTCCTTCAGTGTCGAGCATCCAGACCACCTGTGGGAATTGAGGAGTCTCATTTTGCTAAATACTACTTAAAAGCAAAGCAAGTTCTCAACAGATTTCTCAGTGTTCTCAAAGCTGGCATGGATTGAATTTTCTGGGAGAAAGATGTGGCAGTCTGCTTCTGCGAATATTTACAGCCTTGGAAACCCTATGGGGCAGTTCTACTCTGTCCGATAGTGTCGCTAGGAGTCAGAATCGACTTGACAGCAGTGGGTTTGGTTTTGGTTTAGGGCAAGGTCACATAATTTTTACTGTCTTTAGAGGTAATGTTTGTGACTGCACAGTTCTTGAAAAATAAAAACATCCAAGTCCAAACCATTAAAACTTAGCCAGAAGGGTGGAAAAGGAAGAGAAAAAAAAAAATCGTGGACTTTTTAAAAGAACCTCTGAAGAACTTTAGAAGGAAGTATCCTGTATAGACCAATCTCTGAGCAGTAAGCAGGGATAATGGCTTTCAGGAGGTTAAAACAAAACAAAACCAGTTGCTAGCAAGTTGACTCAGACTCATGGCAACCCCATGAGCGTCAGACTGAAACTGTGTTTCACGGAGTTTTTAATGGCTGATTGTTTGGAAGTAGATCACCAGGCCTTTCTTCTGAGGTGCCTCTGGGTGGATTCGAATCACCAACATTTCGGTTAATAGCCGAGTGCTGAGCCACTGGTACCACTCGGAGTTTCCTTCAGGAGGTTATGGTGATCAAAACTTCTCCCTCTGTATACATTTTCTTACTGCTTCCATTTCACCATTTTATTACCTCAAGGTGTTACTACGAATAACAAAGCTGATTTTTTTTTTAACATGAAAGAACTGTTATCCAACAATCAGTCATGTTAGAAACTTATGCACTTAATCGACCACTTTGCCATAGCTGGAAATGGTGAACTACTAACCTGTACCCAGTCCTAGCTTCACGTCATGTTTCAGGACTTCTTGCACATTTAGAAAGCCACTGCTCAGCCTGGAGAGAGAGGAGATAGTCAGAACAAGAAGACCCATGTGGTTCCAAAAAAAGAACACTAATACTAATGATGGCGATATTCCTGAAAGCTCTATTTCCCATCAGATCAGCTCTAATGCTGATATAAACACATTAGTCAAACTGTGGCTTCCAAGTCCTAGAGTTTAAGAAAAACGATCATAAAGGTGCTTAGATACTTGGGCCACGTTCTATGTTAACCTCCCAGGAGGGTACAATGCAGCAAGAGCCAGAAGGGAAAGCAAGCTGTCACTTGTAAGGAAAAATAAAGGGAGAAATTAAACCTGGCAATTAGTCCAAAAGTCTTATCAGTCTTTATATTTTTTAACTAACCCAACCTTCTATGGTAGGAAGTGGAAATTGTAAAGCGTTACCTTTTCTCTATATCTAGAATAATTTGTTACTCTGAATGAGCAGCAACTTGCAAATTCAAAAACAGGAGAGACCACATCAGGAAAAGGGGTACAGGCTGATGAATCAGGGACTGACAATTCAAATGCTGCCTCTGAGGACAGCAGCAACCAGGAGAGACAGTTCCTGGACAGAATTCTGGACCTCATGACCCTGAGCTTAACAGATGTGATGCCTCTCTAAAGAGACAAAGGAAAACCGAAGAAATCTTTATAAGCCAGAGAAGATGTGAAGATCAAAGTCATCTGCTCAAAGAGACACCCAACTATAGCCTCCAAAGCCCCAGTGTATATGCAATAAATCTCTCAAAGATGTTGGAGAAAGAGTAGTGGTGACCACTGTAACAGGGAACTATCCTTAAGAAATTTCACTTCCACCTCAATTTGCAAAGAGAGATCATGTTTTACTTTAGAAGATGTGCAACTCACCCAAGGGATGTTAAATCCTTCTAGTACCTAGTCACTAGACCATAACTATGGTCACTAAGAGGTAGGTAGGCAAGATTCCCTGTCACACGTGACTACCGTTATGGGTGAAACCTAAGAGTCTCTGGAGGCTCTCAAAATACTCCAGAAATATGTTGCTTAGGCTTTACCCGTACTCCCACTGACATATACTTTTTCCATTCACCAAGTCCCTAGACCTCCAACTGCCAGCACCTCCAACTCTGCCTGGGCTCTCTCTGGATTCTAGGGACTGCTCTGTCCTTGTTGGGGAAGGTTGGAAATTCCAGAGAATTAGTGTCCCCAATTCTAACCCAGCAGCCCTCCACCAATGACTGACAAGTGTTAAGAGTACAGCTACCCCCGCTACCTCTCCCCTTGGGCAGGATAAGTTTAAGTCTTGTTTTGTACACAGGCTCACTGAGTTTTCCAGAAGGACTATACTCCAGGGGCCTGTGGTAACTTGCTTGATGATTCCCTCTTGACTGATGTCCTTCCCTTCTCTGTCTCAACCCCAACAGATGCTTCCTGAGATCGCCTCCCTTAAATAAACCACTTGTACGTGAATCCTCCACTCACCATCTTCTTCTGCAAGAACCGAAACCAAGAGATGACACAAAGGAACCCTCAAAAAAGCTAAAATCTAGCAGAAGCTAATAAATGTGTTGAATGAATTAATGATTGATCCATTCCACCCTGCTGCTAAGGAGACAGAACTCTATTTGGGGTCCATTAGCACCAGAAATGATAGACATTTTCTCTAATCTCATCCTGGAGCATGAGTCCTTAATTTAGCACTCAGGACCAGCATCATGGGGTCCATGAACCCTCTGAAATTAGATGCAAAATTTTACATCTATGGGCTTTTTCTGAAGAGACAGACCATAGCTTTCATCTGATTCACTTATGGATCAATAACCCTTCAAAAATTAAGAAGCAGTTATCAAAAGAGCTTTTGCATTCTGGCAATTGCAATAGGACAAAGGTCCCCCCTGAGGCTCCCCTGTGTGAGCTGGCATGCTGTCAGATCCAGCAGCACGACATGTGTGGTAAGGCATTGGCTTCCAGTAACACCGTACTCTGTCTGACACCAGAGCACAAACAGTAATGGGAACACCTGGCTGGAATATGCATCCTTTCAGTCTTTAGCTGTAAATTCTGAATGCTATTGGTTTTGAGCTCTTTCTGTTGTATTTCCTATTCTGTTTTGTTCAAACTCAGAAATTTTAGGAGACGTGGTGCTTTTCAAATGCATTCTCTGAAAAAATGGCCTTTTTAAATACTCTCTTTCTCCCCACCACAGCCCAGGTAAGCGTCAGTCTATCTAGTTTCCATTTCAATTATACATAACTATAGAAGGAGGGAGCCCTGGTGGTGCAGTGGTTAAGAGCTGGGCTGCTAACCAAAAGGTCGGCAGTTCAAATCCACCAGCTGCTCCTTGGAAACCCTCTGGGGCAGTTCTACTCTGTCCTACAGGGTCGCTATGAGTTGAAATTGACTCAGCAGCAATGGGTTTGGGTTTTATGGAAGAAAGATCCTGGAGGAACAACCAAGAAAGCAAAGGTATTTGACTGGTAATTTGCAACCCAAGTTTTCAAAATCCATCAAACAACTACGGCCTACTTACGATAAGTTAGAATTGGGACAATGTGAGATTGAGGCTCCTCGTTCACTGAAAACGTTAAGTTCTTCTGCAGAAAGGTAGCAGCCATGCGCCATCACTGTCTGGAGAGAAGAGTGTCGGATGTGGAGTTTACCACTTACAAACATTTAGGTTAGTACTCACTCCTAGCAAGATATTACAGATGTAGATGGAAGCTGTGCTTGGCTGTTAACATCTTGACAAGAACATTTATGATTATCTGTATGCATAAAATCACTGTCTACAAGTTACACCTCATAAAAAGCCTCTGAGAACATTTTATTACAAGTCTCAGCAAATCTGTAGATCTTACCTTTTTATTTCTTTTTTTTTTTTTTTAATCTACAGGATAGGTTATGCATCCGGCTTGAACATGTTATGATTCTATCATCTCTACTTTAGAAAACAGCCAAGTTACATTCTTTTTTATGTCTACATGGAACCTACTGATAGACTGTGTTTGTTTCTATTCTAATACAAAAGTTTTAGAAGACAACTTTCACTTTTCAGTACACAGAGGTGTGACCCACCCCCTATTTTTCTTAGTTATAATATAGGCTTAGATGGTGTTGACACATACAATCAAACAAACTTAAACTCACCTATATTTACATTTTCATAAAAATTAGTATCTGTAATATCTTATAGGGGTTCCTGGTAGTGCGGTGGTTAACAGCGTGGCTGCTAAACAAAAGGTCGGCAGTTCGAATCTACCAGCTGCTCCTTGGAAACCCTATGGGGCAGTTCTACTCTGTCCTATAGGGTCACTATATGAGTCTGAATCAACTCAGCAGCAATGAGTTCGGTTTCTTGGTTTTAATGTCTTATAAAGTTTAATTCAGAAGGTAAAACTAATCCAAGAAGGCAGGCATTGCATAAAACTTCTTTTATTTTTTGGTCTTAGTAATGTTTGTGGATTTTCCTGAATAAACTTTGATCTTTCAAAATTCCTTTTCTCTCAGTACAAAACCTGTATCTAAACACCTTTTCCTTTGGGAGGCATGGTTCAATGACCACAGAATTATTATTAAAATAAAATATTCACAACCTGTGTGCAACTAAAATTAACACACAAATTGAAGGTTAATTTATTAATCATATGGAAATATATGTAAAGGAAGGTGGAAAATTATGATGTTGCATTTACATGATTTATGCAGAGTATTAACCTTTCAGATCAATTATATTCAGATCTCCATTTACATAGTAACTGAAAAATAGTTTGCTGCAGTAGTAAAACTCTCCTTACAGTTTGTACATTTCCTATAAGGCCAAGGCCAAGGGTGCCCTATTATAATAAGCTCTCTCTCTATTCATTTTAATTTTAATTATCTTGAATTGTTTAATTACAAAAACAATACATGTTCATTAATAAATAAATAAATAAAGCAATCTCAAGGTGTTTAAATATAAAAAACAAAAAGTCATCCCTCCAACTTTCTTCCCTAGGAATAGCCACTGACAACATTCAATGTGTGTCTTCTAGACTTTTTCTAAGCAGGCACATGCACAAAAAAATACACACATACACTAACAGTGTACGAACATTCTTTCTTATCAGCCTGTATACCTAATTCTTTGTGACTATTGGATAAAATTCTTAATTATGTTGTTGCTAGTTGCCATCGAGTTGATTCCAACTCACGGCGACCCCATGTGTGTCAGAGTAGAACTGCTCCATAGGGTTTTCAAGGCTATGCTTTTTTGGAAGCAGATCACCAGGTCTGTTTTCTGAGGAGCCTCTGGGTAGGTTCCAACTGCTAACCTTTTGACTAGTTAAGTCGAGTCCTTAACAATTGGCACCACCAGAAGATTCCTATTCTAAATTATATAGGCTCTATAATTTAGCCAATCCCCACCAACAGCCATTTTTTACTTTTATGTGTGGTTAATATCAATATAAGCCCTGGTAGTGCAACAGTAAAGTGCTCGGCTGCCAACCAAAAGGTTGGCAGTTCAAACCTACCAGCCACTCTGTGGGAGAAAGATGTGGCGGTCTGCTTCCATAAAGATTTACAGCCTTGGAAACCCTATGGGGCAGTTCTGCTCTGTACTACAGGGTCGCTACGGGTCAGAATTGACTTGATGGCAATGGGTTTGGGTTTTTTTGGTTTTAGTATCAATATACATACTCTTTAGAGAATGGATCTCTAGAAATATAGCTGCTGATTCAAAAGAATGCACATTTAAATTCTAATGGATGCTGTGTAAACCTTCACCAAAAACACAATAAAATATTATTACAAAAAAAAAATTTCTAATGGATACTACCAAAACGTCCTTGGCCCAAAATCCATCCACACCCTCAATGAAGCCATTAGATTTCTTTACCGGGATGAAAATTCAGGCCCATTTTTTTACTAAATTAACCTTGAGTTTTACTGTAGTTTGGGAAACATACGTGTGTTAGAGAAATCTGAAGATTACTACTAAGATTTTAAGATTTAACTAACCCTATTTTACCTAAAGTATGTCATAATATACAATTTACCTTATTCGTCAGAAGATTGTTTTTGTCATACACATCTGTGTAGTTTTTATAATTAGGGTATAAGTTTTTCACAGCTTCAACTTCATCAGGATTTTCACTTATGTGGCTCTATAAGAAAAAAATCATATTTTCAGTTTCTTTTTTTAATAAAATACCATTAGATATTATAGTTCCTACCCCAAAATGCTGTGGATGGCTTCTACTTGCCTATGTAAGAGACCACATGGAAAGATAATGGAGACTAGACATGTGATTTTATTTAAAACAATTATATATATCATATATATAAAGTGGGTGTGTATATATACATATATATAAAATAAGAAAACTATGAATACCATAAATGTCTTGTGTCTGTGTGTATATCTGTGCATCCCAAGACAAATTCTTCCAAGAAAATCTTCTTAAATTCCAAAATACAACAAGAACAAATAAAAAGCACTCAGCAAAGAGGATCAACACGTTAGCTATTTTAGGCATACTGCTTCTTCTGGTGTTGGCCATTGAAGAAAAGACTTCAGAGGCAATCAGAAGGACAGACAGCAGGGTTCACTGGGAAGAAAACTGGGATATCAGTAAAGACAGCAAAGTGTTAGCTCAAGTGCTGACCCTAGTTATGTGTCTTAGAACAAGTGAGTTCTTTTCTTTATGCCTCCATTTTCTCACCTCTCAAATAAAAGGGTTAAGCCAGATAAGTGAGTTTCCAAATTCTTTTAGCTTTGGATATGTTGTTCATATGAAAGTTCACAGAAATTCGATATATAAAAGGCATTATCAACAAGCTGCTCTTCAGGGTGAGGCAGGGTTGGAACTCTGAAACCCTGTCCCCACTCTGTCTCCTTTGCTGTCTTCCAGACAAGCAATTTTGCAGAAGACAGTTGGAAAATACCGTACTAGACAACACCTGCAGTCTTCAAGAAAGAGTCCGTAAGAATCCACAAGCAAGTAAAACAAGTGAGTCCTAGGTCCCCTCCATTGGCCTTCCAGGGCTCCACAAAGGCCAAGAGGTGTAAAGAGTTTCTAAGACACGAAACTTAAGTATAACCAGCCCAACCACTAGCCTACAATAAAAATGATGTCAGGACAACCAGTTACAAGCATATATTATGAGAAATAACTGACAAGGAAATTATCACTTCAAAGAATAGCAAAGTTCTTTCCCTCTCTCCACATGAGGTAAAGTATGCATATCCAAATAAATAAAAGAAAAAAAATAGCAGTGTTCTAAAAACAGAGTGTTCCTTGAGGAAATTCAAGAACATTGGAGAAATACATGGACATCAGAAGAGAAGAAGAGACAACCAGAATGAGTCATGTCATTGTCACAAATTTGAGTAAACATACACACACATACACACACGCACACACTCCTCCTGCAAGGATGTACTTGATTTTGTTGTGTGTCTTTTTTTTTTAATTTTTCCATGTATTTTAATATTATCTTCATGTTATTTTTTGAGGAGCAGAAACATTCTGTTTCCAAAATAGAAAATTCATCTAAGCTTTGAATTTCATCTCCAGGAAAGAACTGTGTGGGGTAGAATCAATAATTCATGTATCACAGATCACAAAAATGGGGAAAGAGGAGAATGGGCTCTAAGAAGATATATCTTTAAAAAAACAAAACTACAAAATAGTAAAAAATCACTATGTTGCCTTTCGCCACTTGCCTTTTCTTATAGTCAAATAACTCTTAAGAGAAGAAATTTTAGTACAGTATGTCATTAAGCTTGGATGGGGGAAAGGGAGCACCCAATTTTAGCCAGCTATAAGCTTTAAAAAGTGTTTTACTCCTAAATTGCAACAACTTAATGACAAAGTAAGATATACTTTTTGTTCCTGACATTAAATTAAGAAACTTAGAACAAAGGGGCTTTTAAGTGCATTTTTTTTGTAAGGTGGAAATCAGGTTCTTTTTGCTTTTCAAATAATAGATGGTTTCTCCCAAAATGAAGGTATAGAATTTGGAGAGAAAGTATCAAATAAAGAGAAGTAGGAAAGAAATGTATTAAATGTATTCTACGGAGAATAGATAAACAGTCTGTCATTGGTCTTGCTTGGTTACTTATGAAGATATCCTTGTCTTTCAAAGGATAATCATAGGAGACTGAGGATAAATGGGGCTTCAGGTTTCTTATCTGCAAAACTAAAGAACTGGATTAGGTGATTCTGCAAGGGCCTGTCGAGTCCTCTAATGCTACAACTCTGGGAAACTTCAGTAGAGGAACTGAAGGTTAATGCCAGGATTTAGGGTACAGAGATGTCCTGCAGGTCTGGATAGGGGTGCAAACAGAAGAAAAATACCCACCTGAATGTGTAAATCATGAGTCTTGGCGATGTTGCCAAGTTCACTCATCAAAGACTCAGAGCAGGAAAGAGAAAACCGTGGCATCACTATCGGCTTCACTCTCAAATACTAAAAATAACCAAAAATAATTGGTAAGAAAACTGTGGATATCATTAACGAATACTGCACCCAAAATGCACGTCATACAAAACGATGATTTTATGTCTTCATTTTAGGGGGCAGTCTCTCATTTTAAGAGTTGGTGGAAGTACTAGGTTATGTGGAAATAGCTCATGGCTGAGGAGAAATAAAAACATCAAACCCATTGCCCTAGAGTCGATTCCGACTTATGGCGACTCCATGTGTTTGAAGGAGAGTATACTCTTCAGCACCAAGTTCAATGGGAAAACGGCCTGTTGTAAATGAAAGGCATTCCCCTTCCCCACATCCACATTAAGGCTCAGCAAACACCTAGACTGGGTGACCTTTATGAAGAGAATTGGAAGGCAGAAGGAAAAATTTTGAAGGAGAGTGTTGGAGAAACTAAAGCTGAGGAGGTGGCCCATTCCCTTCTCTACACCTGGAGGAACTGTGCTGGCCATAGCCTCCCTGAGACTGTTAGGTTACCAGATCGGCTCTGGTGCCACCTGAGGTCAGGGGTCAGGTCGGGGAGAACACCCATAAAGCTCCACCTAGGTCTGCCTAGGATAGACTGAAAGAAATTCTGAGGTTTCCCATGGTTTCTAATCAGACCTTAAGGGAAGGGTCTGACTTGCCAGTATAAGATCACCCAATGGAGCCTGCTGGGGCTGGGGGCAGAAACAGCACTGTCTCTATAGGATCTCCAACTCCAGAGTGTTGCAAAGGGAGCAGCTTGTCTGAGTGCCAACAGGCCACGTGACGGCCACATATACACCGACTAAGGCATCCAGTGGCCAAGGCCTAACAACTGGACGCTGCCTGGGCCTCAGACCAGACAAGGAGGTACAATCGGCCAGAGCCAAGGTTGACATTATCATCAAGCAGTCCCACAACTTCCAGTTTGCTTTGCCCCAACCTGCCCTCCATGAAGTCCCCCTCCCTAAAAACTAGTTCTATGAAGTTAGAAAGACCCAGTGGAGGAGAGGGGGGCATTGCAAATGGGAAAGCTGCCCTGAGACCTGGGCAGTGACCGAGATGTTCATCCCTTAGCTCAACTAAAAGCTTAGTGGACTGGACCAAATTTACCCACCTGACTGAATTTATTTCTCCCTCCTCATATAAGCATGGGGGTTTGCAGCCAAGAAAAGTGCTAAGAAAAAAGCAAACTTCATGTTTGCACATATCTGAACAGTGATTACTTAACTGTTGTTCTGTTAGTTGCCACTGAGTCAACTCCGACTCATGGTGACTTTATGTAGAAAAACAAAACATTGCCTGGTCCTGCGACATCTTTATGATTTTCGTATGTTTGAGTCCACTGTTGTAGCTATTACATCAATCCATCCCATTAAGGGTTTCTTTCATTTTTGCTGACTCTCTGCTTTGTTTAATTAAACCTTCCAAAATCACAATTTCAAAATTGTGTTTAAAACAAAACACAGAGGGTTGGGTATAGAGTCACAGTTGCCCTCACTGAAAGGGAAAAACTATCTGACCTCACTGACCTGAGCTGATGAGTCCTCTGTGAGAACAGTTTCAGGTTCTAGGCACATAACTCTTTATGCATGCAGTAAGCCAAACACACAGAGGCTAATCTACCAACAAATGCAAAAGCAATCCAAAAATAAGCTAACAAGTTTACTTACATTCCTTTGAAGCATTTTTGACACAAATCTGAAATAAAGCAACAAATGATAAGTTAGGAAAACTAGACGTTTTCAAATAAATTTTAAAAGGACAAAAACATGATCCTTACATGTCCTAATTTCCATGCAAACATTTCTAACACTGCACATGTTTCAGCACCACTCCTTAAAGATTAACAAACGGTGATTACTTTCACATTTGCAGCCTGGAAGATGGGGTGCAAAATCATGAAGAAATGCAATTGTATCATCTGAAATCAGCTGGACTGTTAACTGAGTGTTCCCATAGCACTCAAGCTGTTCTACTAGCTTAAGGTCTGTTTGGCAAATATTGTAATGTGTTGAGCTCCATGTATATTAGAGTCATGAAGTCCTATGCACCTGGAGGTATGTAAAAGCTATGGGGCTCCCAATTTTCCTAAAGCAGAAAGCTAACTCATTCACATAGTACCATTATTTCATTCCAAGGGCAGAGTCTCCCTGGGGACGAATGTCAGAGTAAGGCAGAAAGAATAGGCCAGAGGTGGTTGTAAGGCAGAGGGAGACTGGGATGGAGATTCAACTAATTATACCTGCAAAGACAGTAGTAACTGTGAACAACCAGCTGCTATCACGTCAACTCCAACTCCAACTCATGGTAACCCCATGTGTCAGAGTAAGAACTGTTCTCCAAAGGGTTTTCAATGGCTGCATTTTCAAAAGTAGTTACCCAGGCCTTTCTTCTGAGGCACCTCTGGGTGGGCTCGAACCTCTGACCTTTTGGTTAGCAGCCAAGCACATTAACCATTTGCACCACCTCCCCAATGGCAACTGTTGAGCCTATGAAATGGTTACTCCTGTCCTGGCTGTGAGATTAAAAGTAAACTTACAAAAATATATTCAGTTTTTTAAAAAAACAAATGATTTTCTACTCAACTCTTGTCCAGAGACGTGAACTAGAAAACACAAATATACATGAACCCAAACCCTACACACACACACCTATTCTTCCAAACAATTTTATAAGGTTATAATTTGCATATCATAAAACCAAAAACCAAACCTGTTGCCGTTGAGTATCGCGACTCATAGCGACCCTATGGGACAGAGTAGAACTGCCCCATAGGGTTTCCAAAGAGTGGCTGATGGATTCAAACTGCTTTTGGTTAGCAGCTGTACCTCTGAACCACTACACCACAAGGGCTCCACATACCATAAAGTTCACCCATTTTAAGCGTGCAATTCAATGATTTTTATTAAATCTATTGAGTTGTGCAACCATCATCATAATCTAGTTTTAGGACATTTCATTACCCCAGTAAGAACCCTTGTGTCCATTTACAGTTAACAGCTGTTCCTACCCCCAACCCCAAGCAACCTCTAATCTACTTTCTGTCTCTGATTTGTCTTTTCTAAACATCTCATAGAAGCCCTAATGGCACAATGGTTAAGTGCTCAGCTATAAATGGAATCTTACTGTATGAACCTTTTGTGTCTGGATTCTTTCACTTAGCATAATATTTCCAAGCTGCATCCATGTTTTAACATGTGTCAGAACTTTTTATGGCTGAACGATATTTCATTATATGGATAGACCACACTTTTAAATTGACATACAATTTTATTATGATTCCAACCATAATATCAATTAGAATATTTTTATATTATTTGCCATTTCAACATTTTTTATGTGTACAATTCATCAACATTAATTACATTCATCATGTAGTGCGACGTTACCCTTCTTCATTTCTAAAATCTTTCCACTGCTCTTAACAGAAGCTTAGTAGAGATACCACATTATGTTTATCCATTGATGAACGTGGACATACGTTTTCATGTTTGTATTTTTCTATGTTTATAGGTTTTGTTTTTATATGTTTCATATGAATGTGGACATATGTTTTCATTTCTCTTGTACTCTCTTACTTTTTATGATTCTATCTGTCTACTGCACTCTCTTCTTTGAGGTGGAGGTTTTCCCAAAGTAGGTTGTCCACCATCTCTGGCGAACCTAGCTCTATGCCCAGCAGCAGCAGAAGCAGAGAGCCATGGCCCTCACATCGTCTCTCTCTAGCTGTGTGTGTCACCATGGGGCATCCTCAGATCTTCACTGCAGGTTGCGTAGTGAGGCCCTGCTCCCCGTGAGTACACAGACGTGCAGCCAAAGCAGGAAAAGAATGAACTCGAAAGCCTTCCCTCCTGGATCTCTGCATTTCACCTTGGAAAGATGATCTTTCAGGTCACATCTTTGAAGAAGAGCTAGTCTAGCTGCCTGAATTAGCATGGTACGGCCATTCAGCATGTATCTAGAAGAAACTCTCTCTTCTCAGAGTAGGACAAAATAGTAGCGAGGGGATGCATATGCCTCCTTGGAAAAATACTGAAAGGTTATAGAGTATAATTCCAATATTGATAACTCTAAGCGGTTGCATTACGGAGGCCTTTTCTCTTCTTTGTACTTTTTGTGCTTCTCCAAGTTTTGTCCAGGCAAGCACATATGACTTTTGTAATAACAATAAGATCTTCGAGCAATCTCTGAAGCTAACTAATTTTTCTTAAGTCTCTGTCTGATATTTTATTCCACAATTGATTCCTCATGTTCACATCATTTTTAAAGACACACCACAGCACGTGCCTGCTCGCTCACTCACTTGCATGTGCTCTCTCTCTCTCTCTCACCCTTTGTATGCATTTACATTGAACACGAGGTGAGGACCTATGTCATGGCAGAAAGAATATTGAATTTAGAGTTACTGATGCTGGTTTTCAATCCTGGGTCTGCCACTTAGAAGCTGAGACCTTGGCCAGGTCATTTAGCCTGTATCAGACTCAGCTTCTGTATCATGAAAGACAGACAGCCTCATGGGGATTTCTGTGAGGATTAAGCATGGCCCTGCAAGCGGAAGCTCTTTGTAAACTGTGAACAATGACCAGCTGTTGAGCAGATTCACTGTAGACTGCCTGTTCCATTGCACTAAATGGAATATTCTGAATCACTACACGCACTTCTCACTTACGTCACAACTGTACCTGGTTTCTTCCATCTCTAACTCCATCCCTGCAGCAGAGGGACCTGCCCACAAGACAAATCAAGACAATCGGGCATCTTACCTGTTAGTTTCCCTGATTGATTCCTCAGTGGTTTCCTTGTATTCTGGAACACTGTCGTTCAAATCCATGCACACTTTGCCCACAAATGCTCGCTGCCCAAATTTATCTGGGGAGCACATACAAAACAGTGTGAAATCATGTTTCTTTCCCAACAGTACTTTTTCTGAGACTTTTAAGAACATGTAAATTTAAAATCCTTATGCAAAACATAAGCCAGGATCTAAAACACTACCCATCATCATGACATTTAAGAATAACAACAATCACCATCAAAACCCAACCAAATTTGCTTTTGTTGTTAGTTGCCAGTGAGTCAACTCTGACTCATGGCGACCTTCTATACAACGGGATGAAACACTGCACGGTCCTGTGTCATCCTCGTGATAGCCAGCATGTTCAAGTCTATTGTTGCAGCTACTATGCCAATCTAGCTCACTGAGGGTCTCCCTCACCCTCTCTGGCCCTCTACATCACCAAACATGATGTCCTTCTCTAGCAATTGATTGCTCCTGATGATGTGTCCAAAGCAGGCCAGCTGGACAATGTTCTATTGTGATCCATAAGGTTTTCATTGGCTAATTTTCAGAAATAGACTGCCAGGTCCTTCTTCCTAGTCTGTCTTAGTCTAGAAGCTCCGCTGAAACCTGTCCACCATCGGTGACCCTGCTGGTATTTGAAATACTGGTGGCGTAGCTTCCAGCATCACCGCAACACACAAGCCACCACAGTACAATAAACTGACAGACGGGTGGTAGCCAATGAATTTTGTAAGTAGTAAAAGTTCCTCTATCCATCACTCCAACCCACCTCCTCCCCCATGCCCACTCCCAGGGTATCCAGATAACAACTAGGGTTTTTCACTGATTACTCAGCTTTTCCTTTTCCTTATACAGTTTATGTATATTTTTACTAGAGTCATAACTATCGTTTGCTTTCATTTTATCTTCATGGTAAAGGAGGAGACAGCCTGATCCTGGGAAATATTCTATTATTCTCTGACATACCTACAGTCTGTTTCTTCTCTTTCCCCCTCCCCACCCCCCCCACCATAATCTCTCTCCTGTTACCTACTCTACCTTCCCAGTTGGTGAGTCCTCTCTACATTCTTCCTCCCTGGTCTAGTGATAAAAACATGGATGTTGGGCATTAGACAGACTTAGATATGTCCCGTTACCCCTCCCAGGACAGCAGGTATATTTGTGTAAGGTCCAAACCTATATGTGACCAGTTACCTCTGCTATGTGCAAGGTTATGTTACCAATTGCTAGAAAAGGACATCACAGTTGGTAGAGGGTCAAGGAAAACAAAGGAAGCCCTCAGTGAGATGGAATGACACAACAGACTCAAACATATCAACAATCATGAAGATGGAGCAGGATCGGGCAACGTTTCCTTCTGTTATACTAAGGTTGGCCTGAGTCGGAGCCAACTCAATGGCAACTAACAACAACAATGAGAAATAAATGCAATAATGTATATGAAGTGTCTGGTACACAGGATTCAGGAAAGATATTGCCTCTAGTCTTAACTGTAGAAAAGTCAATGTTATTATCTGTGAGGAGTTTTACTTAGTCCTGCTAGCTCATGTCAGTACTAAAGAACCTAGTCCTCACTAGAGGGGTTGGAGGAATTCTATTTCAGCTATAAAGTTGAAGTCACATGGGGCAATGTTAATTTTTTTACAATTTCTCCACCCCTGTCATATGAGTCTTTGAAAAGTCTCCCTGCTTCTCTCTGTCCCATCATTCCTTAAAACGTCACCTTCATCATGTAACTCACCTGGCTCAAAACCTTTGTTGAGTCTTTGATGCATATTCAAGCTCCTTCACAATCTGAGGCAGCTCGTCTGCCCAACCTCATCTCCTACCCCACCATGAAATGCATCCTCTCTTTCAGCTAAACTACTCTGCTCCCAGTTACCTGGATCCACTGTCAGTATTCCTGTCCCCATACCTTTGTCCCTGTCATTTCCCCTGTCTAGAAGACATTTTCTTCTCTCCCCATTTTTTCCTCCCTTTAAAGCCCAGTTTTTAAGTCCCCCTCGCCCTGCATGTCCCAGCTCTGGGCTCTCTCTGCCTCTTCTGAAAGCAGCAGCATTTCTCTTCCATGCCACACATTGGGCCTGTGGCATAAACCACCATGGCCAGCAAGCAGTCATATCTGTGTGTCAGCCAACAAGTATTTATTGAGCACTTGCTATGTGCCAGGTGCTGTTGTTATTGTATGCCATCGAGTTGATTCCAACACGGCAACCCCATGTGACAGAGTGGAACTGCTCCATAGGACTTTCTTGGCTGTAATCTTTACGGAAGCAGATTGCCAGGTCTTTCTCCTATAAAGCCCATTGGGTAGGTTTGAACTGTCAACATTTCAGTTAGCAGCCAAGTGCTTAACCAGTGCACCACCGGGGCTCCTTCCCAGCATTGTACTGGGTAGAAATGTCAGAACTACCAGCTTGAACCAGTTTTAGCTCTACTTACTAGCTGTGTGACCTTGGGCATGTTACTTAACCTTTGTGTGCATCAGTTCATCCATCTGTAATACATGCACATTAACAACTACCTCACCAGGCTGTTTTCGAGGAAGCAGAGATAATCTATGTAAAGTGCTTCACACAATGCCAGGCATCTCGTTGCTGAGTGCCGTCGAGTCGGTTCCAACTCATAGTGACCCTGTGTACAACAGAATGAAACACTGCCCGGTCCATTAATGGATGTTTGCAGCTGTTACTGTCATTTGAGTCGTGCCACATCAGCAAATGAAGGTCCCGCAAGCTTGACTCCATCCATGTCATTAAGGGAGACTACTTTGAGGAAGCAGCTCTTCCCCAGTCGTATTTTGAGTGCCTTCCAACCTGAGGGGCTCATCTTCCGGCACCATATCAGACAATGTTCTGCTGCTATTCATAATGTTTTCAGTGGCCAATTTTTTAGCAATAGACCGCCAGGTCCTTCTTCCTAGTCTGTCTTAGTCTGGAAGCTCCACTGAAACCTGTCCACCATGAATGACCTTGCTGGTATTTGAAATATTGGTGACATAGCTTCCAGCATGACAGCAACGTGGAAGCTGTCCCAGTACGACAAACTGACAGACGAGTGGTGGCCAGGCATCTAGTTAACAGCATTATACCTGTTACTACAGCTCTTAATCAATGTGGGTAGGTATCCTGTCTGGCTCCTCAAGGGCAGAGACTATTTTCTGTGTCACTGTGTTCCCAGCATCTAGCACAGTGCTCTGAGTCTAGCCAATAGCCAAGACACATCTGTTGATTATAAGTGCTGCTACAGCTAGAATTAGTAAATCTAACAATACCTAAATGAATCCTCAAAATTCAGACCCATAGACATAAGTCTGGAATCAAAAGCCACAAGGAAATAATTAAATTACTTTAACAATATTAAACATTCAAGGGCCATTGTAATAGAGGACACTTAATTACCCATAAGAAATGCAATACTCAAATTCTAGCAAATAAAAGGCAGTACTATACACAAGTATAAATTGTTGCCAGGTATGGTCTGACTGCCTTTGCCTGATATGCCCCGTAAATCAAGCCTTCATCTGCTCACCTGTAATTTCCGCAAGGAGCAGGGATGAGTCAGTGTGAATTGTTCCGAAATAACAAGCCGTAGTTGTTCCATTCTTTAGTGTTCTTCTCTAAAAATAAATCACAAAAACCATGAATCGTGTGTGCCCAAAGAAGTCACATGGCGTATATGGAAGACAGAATTCTAGTTTTTAATTTTAAAATGTTTTTATTTAAAGGTATGCCATCTTGACACGGAATATAGTTAAGGTAAAAAGGAAAAAGTATTTATAGTCTGTAAGTGTTAGCTGGAGGATAAGTTGATACTTTTGATTCCCTAGATTCACACAATTCTGTTTCAGAATTCATCAAATGATACTAATTCCTTATTTCTTAGGATCGGTTAAGTATACCAAACTCTACTGCAGCTGGGAGTGACATGAATGGTTTTTTGGTTATCCTTCTTCCTACATTCTATGCCCAGGCTCCTCGGGCCCCTACTGCACACTAGGAGCTCACGAGCTTTAGGTGAAACTACTCCATTAATGACTATTTTGTATTTTTACCATTTATAAAGAAATCTATCAGAAACAACACCAAACTGTTTGCTGTGTTTCCTGATCTTGCCTCAGCCTTCGATTCTTGTCAAGAAGGGTTTTGAGACCAAGCTTTAGAGGCTCAAAATACATTCCCAGCTTAAGATGACTATGAACATCAAGGTCAGTAGCAATGGCCTCTTAACAAATTAGATAATTTCCTGTGAGGTAAAATAGGAGAGAAAAAAAAAGTGCTCTGATCCCCTTCTTTTCACCTTGTATCTTAATGACTTGATAACTCCTTTGAAATAGTTGGATTCATTCATCCTTATTTATCTGCTAAATCATCGATGACCCCACAGCATATGTATATTCACTCTATTACCTAGGTGAATATTTACAAGTACTTTGTCTTGGAACATTCACCAAGACAGGATCTTCCTGTCCTGTCCTTTAAAGATAATTTGAGCAGATTCCTTAACTTTGTAGTCTTCTTAGTTCATTCCAGTCCAATTCGAATCTGCAATCTCTCATCCAGTTTAAAATGTTTAAAGGTAGATACTCTCGAGTTGACTTGCTGATATTTAAAAAAAAAAAAAAAATCTCAGGAGATGTTTGCTAATATATACTTTAAATAATTTGCCAATTCAATAATCAAAGTCATCATCCATGCTGCAACATGCCAGGGTCTTGATTGCTCATTTGTTGAAGCAGATCTAGGACTTTATTCAGGGATGGAGACAGGGCATAAAACAAATCTGGGGTTTCATAGGTACTTCTTTAGCAACGATTGGCATAGACACAGGAAGCCTTCAGCCTAGGGACAGGTTCTAGTTAACAACCTCAACTGTCTTACACAGATGTCAACATTACCCTCAGCTAATCCAACTGTTAAATGTGGAGACCTGCCTGGAATCGGAAACATAGGATATTTGCACTGCAAATACTTGTCAGGAGTAAAACCTGAGCTCCTTCACTAACATCAAAGGCTTAAACAAATACTTAACATATCTTAGACATAAGAAGCAATATTGACGGAGCTCTGCCTGAAGGACATATAGTCCTAGATACTTTAGCTCTCTAAACGTACGAGACTGATAAATTTGGACTTTAGTTAAGTTTCCTGAGCTACATTTTGACAATATAGCATCCACCCACATTCTTGGGATTAATTTTCTTAAATTTCAATATGACACATAGATATACTTTATCTTAACAAATATTTTCTTTTTAATCATATATGCAACATAAATTTCATAACTGATTGCCCCCTTGGGTCAGCTGCTAAAAATTTAAAGCTAAACTTGTGGCAAACTCTAACAAATGCATGGACCCCGAAGCATACATTTTCCCCCCTCTTCATTTTTTCCTTTGCTGTGATTTCGTGACTAATTTTCTTTTGTTGTATACTATGCGATTTTAAGTGATCTTGAGCTCTTTTTAGAACAACGTGAGGTATAAATAAATGTTGAGAATAAAAAGATTTGGTGCGCTTAACACACTTCATTATTAACACCAGCAACTTAATACACAGCTTCAGTTTTTCTGGCATCATGTGGATGCACGCTAAATATGTAAGATCCACAACTGCACTGAATTTGTAATTAAGCAAGACAAGTGTATAAATGTTAACACTTGTTTTTACTCTTCAAGGTTTGAATGATGCAAGACCAGGGTAACTGGCAGACAGGGTGGGTCATTATATAAGGCTTGTAACATTGTCACCACCACATAGTCAGCTCCTTAGGAGGAAAACCATCGATAGATCCCACATACAACTAGGAGTGCCCAGACTAAGTGTGCTGAATGACAGGAGTCAGCGGTCAGATGAAAAGCCATTTTGCAGCCTTCACTTCTCTGCTGCAGAAGCTGTTTTAAGTTGCTGAATGGGTTGCAGTAGGGTTGGATTGGAAAGAAGGGAGTTGATTTTCTTGAGAGTAGAAGGCAGGACATTTTCAGAGCCTTCAAAACACAGTTGGCACACACAACAGCCACTGTTAAATGACTAAACTAGCCCCATAGTCCCCTCTAGTGGTGCAAATGCTTAAGTCGCATTTCCACGTGCCCTGCAGTATGGGACCACTCTGTTTTCCCTCTCTGGGAAGTTATCAGAATAGTGTCATGTCCTTCTAACAGTAATTCGACATATTAATTTTAAATTTCCTTGAGTATTTTTTAAAACCAACACATAGAACACTTACCATGTGCCAGGCACTATTCCAAGAATCTCAAAAATACTGACTTGCTTAGTTATTGTAACAATCCCATGAAGTAGGCACTATTATCTTTATTTCTACAATTGGGGAAAGTAAGCCACAGAACTTTCCAAAGGTCACACAGCTATTCCATACAATCCTCGGAACAGCACTGGGGATTGGCGGGAATAGCAGAACACGTATATGTATTAAATCCAAATTTGGTAAAGTAATACCTAAGACGTAAGAGCCCATGAGCCTGGGGATTTGGGAACTTGGATTCAAGTTCCTTCTTTGCTATCCACTAGTTACATAGGTGAGGGGGTCACAAACTTACTGGGCTGTGAAATGACTACGTGTAGTTTATAATTTAAATCTACCAAGAGAAATGGATGTTTTTATAGATCACAGAACATAATACACCAACTTTCACAAACAGGATTACTTACGACAACTCTGGTATATACTTCTTCAGCAAAGTCAATATTCTGGAATTTGTGTTCTGTAGGAAACGTGTACTTGGTTAGCCACTCCAAAAGCGGCAGGTCTAAGTTACTTCCAGCAAATGAATACTGAGGAGCATGGATGTGTGTATCAACCAGCCCAGGCATGAAGAATTCACTGGAAATTAAGATGAGAAGAAATAATTTAATAACGTCTTTAGTCATTTTCCATATTTTACATCACATTTTATCTCGATGATGATTTAATAGTTCACACCACACAGGTTTATGGCTGAGTCATCAGACAGCTGTAAATGTTCCTATTGTTTTGTTGTTAGCTGCTATTGAGTTGGGCCCAACTCCTGGGGACCCCTTGAACAATGGAACAAAACATTGCCTGGTCCTACGCAATCCCCATGATCGGTTGCGGATCATGTTCCATTGGGATCCACATGGTTTTTACTGACTGATTTTTGGAAACAGAGTTCATAAAAACACACGGGCATAAAACAAACAACAACCTGTCTTTAATTAAAATGTTGGTATTTTGTTCATCATGGATTTTTGCATGAATTTTGATTTTTTTTTAATATGGCATTAAAATATTATTTTGTCTTGATTACTGAGTTTTTTTTATCTCCTCCCCTTAAATTTTGTGCCTCAGGTAAATGCCTCACTCGTCTCACCAAAATCCCAACCCTACAAACCCTGTCTGTAGCTCCCAGCCAGAATCTGATCCACTCCTGCCAAGACATTGCCCACCGTTGTTGTTAGCTGCCGCTGAGCCCATTTTGATTCACGACGACCCCATGTGTACAGAGTAGAAGTGTTCCATGGGGTTTTTAAAGCTGTGACCTTTGGGAAACAGATTGCCCGGCCTATCTTCTAAGGCACCTCTAGGTGGGTTTGAATCGTCAACCATTCTGCTAGTAGTCAAGCACTTAACCGTTCGTGCCATCCAGGGATTGTCCACGGTACTCCAGTTGTAATTTTCACTTTTTAAAAATCCACATAGTGCTGAGACAGACCTCTAAGTACACTGGGTATTGGGCCAAGTCTATTAAAAATAGTGTCAGAGACATCATCTTCTATGGTATTTTAATCATGAGACATCAAGAAATTCAAGTGCTCATATCCTGTGTGTTTGATATGAGAATTACTTTGCATTTTAAATATGATTTTCCCTTAAAGACCTCAGTTTTCCACCAAAGTTTAAATTCTTGCCTTACCACTTCTCTGTATGTAGCACTTACAAGGCTCCTGGGATCTGCACTTTTGATGGATTTAACTCCAAAAGCAACCTCAGAAAGAGGGGCAAAAGGATGTGAAGACTCACAGATATGTTCATCCATACCACCTCCAAAACTTTCTTCTAATCCATCTATCCCAAAGGCATGCAAGCAGGTGACTATAAATGTCAGTTTTCTTCAGCATATATTCTTATGAAAATCTAGCAAGAGGAAGCAGAAGGTAACGCAGAAGTTCCTGCATTAAATTTCCATGCCCATTGCCAGTAGGCTTCCAAGCTTAAAGAGAGACAGCAGGCAGACGAAGGAGGTAGGGAGATAGGAGATGTGAGTACAGCTGCAAGTGTAACAAAACTTTGTTTCTTTGGCTTATAACCAGCCCCTTTGCTGCAAAGCTTTAGGGGTAACCCAATTCACAGACCCTCAGCACTAGAAGGGACCTTCATAATCACTTGGGACAATGCTTTTGTTAAAAGCTTGTAGAGTAGACAAGCTCAAAGAGGAGAGTGACTTGCTTTAGATCTACCAGCTAGAATGCTGTAGTACAAGGATTCAAACCAGGTATTTGAATTCCAAGTTCAATGTTCCTTTTACCACATGACTCTAAATTTACATCCCAAGTTACGAAAGTGTTTTCCGAGTGAAAATGATATAAATTTTATTGACTTTGCAAACAGACTTGTCCTCAAACAAGATAAAATATTCGATTTTAAAAAATGATTCTTACTTTTGTAAACCAACTAACATGGCTATGAGGAAAGTGGGCTGACCATAACAAAAATGTTTTATATAAATACTAAAAATCACTAAAAGTAAGTGGTAGATAAAATCTCAGCTCCAATGCACTTCTGCAGACCCTGATCATGCTGTCAGAGTAACTGGTCCCCAGATTCTGCCCCCTCCCTCCAACACTTTATCTATGTCATGTTAGAGCCTCGGTGCCACAGTGGTTAAGAGCTACGGCTGCTAACCAAAAGGCCGGCAGTTCGAAACCACCATCGCTCCTTGGAATCATAGCCCTCCATTTACTTCCTTTATAGAAAGTATCACAGTCTATCCCTGTCATGCTTACAATCTGATTACTTGTTTACTGTCTATGTCTCCCATGGGCTGTAAGTCTCATAACAACAAGGACCTTGTAGATCTTTTCACCTCCAGATCCTAATACATGCACATAGTAGGTACACTAAATATTTGTTGAAGAAATAAATGAATAATGACAGCCTCTAGTTCTCAAAGTTTCTGTTCTTCAGCTGCCTATTCTCTATCTCCTCCTTCCCAACTCAGCCTTCCAAAAACAAAAAGCCTCTCTGTCTTTCAGACAGGTTTCCTATCATCTGAGGTTATATTATGGCATCAGGAAGAAGGAAGTTGGCCAAGACTTACTGGGGGCTCAGTTCTCTTACTTCAGACGGCTTGAAGCACCATTCTTTGGCCAGTTTTTCTTGTTGAGATGCTTCTTCTAAAAACACTATCTTTAAAAGAAAGAGCAAAAGAAAAGAATCACAGATTAATGAACCACAGCCTTGGTTGCCAGAAAATATCTTAATCTTTTAAGAGACTACACTGTAGCTGAGCTATTCTCAAAGGTATCCGATAGCAAATGGGATTGAGTTTAGAGATAAAAAGAGAAAGGTTTGTCTTTGGTCACCGGAAGAATAAACTGGTAAAATTGCTCATTTTCTGCTGTAATACAGGTGGTCCCTGACTTACGACATACTCGAACCGCACTTAAAATCATCTTTTCTTTTTGTACATCTTATCATTATTAATATGTACCACATACAATGTTGCAGCATGTAATTTGCTGATGTTATAATCCAGATGATCCAGAACCTTCCACAAGTGGAGTTATTACTGCATCTGACAAAATGCCAATGTTGTCCAACTCTTCCTCATCATTGGAGTAAGTTTTTATGATTTGTGTATTTTTTATGTATGTGTATATTAAAATATATCTGTAAGTTTATATGTAATGTTTCCAACCTCCAAAGACAAATAAAGATCGGATTTGTAAAGACATGGATAATAAACGGCAATAATAATGAAAACTAAAAAAAAAAAAAAGAAATATTCAACTTAAGTCAGAAGCGACATGACAGAGCTGTTGGAATGGAACCCGTCGTAATTGGGGACTACCTATATGGAAATAAGGATTCAAAAATTTTAATTTGAAGATCTAGGGTATTAAAAATGATGAATTAATATCTATTTCTCTCCATCCCGTGAAAATGATTAAAGGAAATAATTGGTTATAGAAATAGTACCTCACAGCAGATTAAGAGCATATTTTAGTTAGTCTGTGCTGGGAAATCCAACTCCAGAGTGCAGTAGTAGTGATATCATGGGGCAACTTATTAACATAAATATAACTGACACCACTCATCTATCTGTCTGTGGTACTGTGGTGGCTTGGAGTTGCTCTGATGTTGGAAGCTACGCCACCGATATTTCAAATGCCAGCAGGGTTACCCACGGTGGACAGGTTTCAGCGGAGCTTCCAGACTAAGACAGACTAGAAAAATAGGCCCAGTAATCCACTCCCAGAAATCAGCCAATGAAAACCTTATGCATCACAACAGAACATTGTCTTGTTCATTTTCTTTGGGCAGGACATCAGGAAGAATCAATCTCTGGAGGAAGACATCATGTTTGGTGAAGCAGAGGGCCAGCAAGGGCAAGGAAGACTCTTGGTGAGACAGACTGGCACAGTAGCCACAACAGACTCAAACACGCTGGTGACTGTGAGGATGACGCAGGACCAGGCTTTTGTTCTATGGTAAATAAAATTGTCATGAGTCAGAGTTGACTCAACAGCAGCTAACAACAACCACAAATGTAATTGCACATAAAAAATATCCGACAATTGATTTTCCATATGAACTATGCTGATGTTTGATGCTAGACATCTACTATAAAGAGGTCTGCTGCGTTTTTTCAGTTCTGTGTCTAAGAGACACTACAGTGAAGTAGATAAGACAGTGACCTCTAATGTCAGGCTTGAGAGGTCTGAAGCCCATGTCCAACAGCTGGGTGACCTTGACAAGGTTTCTTAGTCTTTCTTGGTCTGGTTCCCATCAGTACCTACTGCACAGGGCTATTGTGAGTACTAGGAGCCCTGGTGATGTAATGGTTAAGCACTCAGCTGCTAAGCAAAAGGTTGGAGGTTCGAACCCATCAGTGGCTCCATAAGAGAAAAGACCTGGAGATCCGCTCCTGTAAAGATTAAACAAAAAACAAAACAAAACAAAAACAAACTTGTTACTGTGGAGTGGATTCCAACTGACAGCGATCCTGTAGGACAGAACAGAACTGCACCATAGGGTTTCCAAGACTGTAAATCTTTTCAGAAGCAGACGGCAACATCTTTCTTCCATGGAGCAGCTGGTGGGTTCAAACCACTGACCTTTTGGTCAGCAGCCAAGCACTTAACCACTGCACCACTAGGGCTCCTCCTGTTAAGATTACAGCCTAGGAAACCCTATGGAGCAGTTCTACTCTGTCATATAGTGTCACTATGAGTCAGAACCCACTCAATGGCACACAACAACAATTGCAACAACATTGTGAAGACTAAGTATGATAATTCTCGTGAAGTTAGCACATCTCTGGAGCACGTTAAATGCTAGATAAATTATATCTATTATTAATTCTTTTGTAAGTATGATGTGATAGCTTTCTCTGTACAAATGGATTGCAAAGCTAGAAAGGCAAGAAAGAATAAATCATGTATGCAGGAAATTCCTGTTTTATTTTTAATGTAATATTGTGAAAATAAATGTTTCATGAAACATGAAATAAAACTGGTTGATAAAATATATCTAGTTAATTAGAGGCAAGCCAAGACACATCAGGAAAAATAAATTGTTTGTGGAACTGAAGAGAAAATAAGGTCAGTATTGACTGTTTAATCATTAAGATATCTTTAAAGAAAAAATAAGGATATTAATCAAAAGAGAAAATGAAAAGCAAATATGATCAATTAGGGAAAAGTGATTTGATAGTCCTGAAAATAGTTGGAAAAGAGTAATAAAAAAAACTTCAAAGCAGATACATAATTTTAAAAAAATACAGAATTTGTAAGTATATCTCTGACCTGATTTACTATAAAAGCTGTAAATAAAAATACCATTTGTAAAGCACTATACTCACACATTTCAGTGACACAGCTGCTAACCAAAAGGTCGGCAGTTCAAATCCACCAGCTGCTCCTTGGAAAACCTATGAGGCAGTTCTACTCTGTTGTCTAGGGTCGCTATAGGTAGAAATCAATTCGACGGCAACAGACTTGGTTTGTTTTTTTTTTTTTAATACTCATACATTTGAAATATATTTCGAATAAATGATTTTTGAGGAAAATAGAAATGATGAAAATTTGTTCTGAAGTAATAGAAAAGCTGAATTAACCCATAACTCTAGAAAAAAGTAAGGAAGTTTCCTTAACAAAAGCTCACAGTTCAGCACAGCACTGTCCAATCGAAATATAATGTGAGTCACAAAGTCAAGGCACATATGTCATTTTAAATTCTCTAGTAGCCACATTTAAAAAAGTGAAAGGAAACAGGTAAATTAATTTTAATAATATGTGTTACTTAACACAACATATAAAAGATTATCATCTCAACATAGAATCAGTAAGTTGTTGTCGGGTGCCGTTGAGTTAATTTTCACTCATCGTGACCCCATGTGACAGAGGAGAACTGCCCCATAGGGTTTCGGAGGCTGTAATCTTTATGGGAGTAGATCACCAGGTCCTTCTCCCTTGGAACAACTGGGTACGTTCAAACCGCCAACCTTTTGGTTGGCAGCCAATGCTTAGCCATTGGGGCCTCCAGAGCTCCTAGAATCAATATAAAAGTTACTAATTTTACATTCTGTCTTTGTACTAAGTCTTTGAATCCAAAGTGTACTCTGCCTTTAAAGTACATTCCAAATTAGTCATGACATGTTCATCAGAAATATTTGATCTGCATTTAGGTTCTATGAAATTTTTAAAAAGTATACTCATATACCCAGGTTATTCCAGACATACCTAGACGTTTTCCAAGGTTGAAATGAATATAAATTTTTAAATGCAAATGTAAATTGATTTAAAATAGGAAATTTAACTACTTAGTCACACTAACCCCACTTCAGGTACTCAGTATTCCTATGTGGCTGCAGTATTGGACTGCGCAGGTTCACAGAATTTCATAGCAAAGTCCTTTCAAACTTACAAAGACCAGGTAATGTCTGTGCTATCTAAAGAGCTCCTGAGCATGGAGAAAGAATGGAAACCTCTGCATATCTACACATCTAGCATAATCTTCACACAAAACCTGACAAAGCACACAGGCATGCACAAACACAAATATGCGAAAAGAGAAAATTACAGACCAATGCCATTTGTTATTTAACAATATAAATGCAAAAAATATCCCAAGTGATATGCTGGCAGTAAAAAGCAAAAATATATTTAAAAAAATAATTCAATATTATCTGTAAACACGTAAGACTTCATTATTCAGGACATGTCTTCTATCAATTTATAGCAGATGTTTAAGAGTTAGGCAAGGACCCAACTTCTCAAAGACTGCTGAAATACACTAAATAGACAATAGATGGGTGGTGACTTTGGTGAAGGACACAACAGTACACAATACTGGGGAAACCAGCACAACTTGTACAAGGCAAGGTCACGTAAACTCCATAGGGAAAAAAAAAGATTGCTGGAATAAATCCACCTGCTCCTCATTCCTATTTTCTTCAGCCAACACCCAAACTACAATTCACCTGCCCCTCAGGTACACACCAGGGATCTTGATCTGCCCCGTTATCATCATAAAGCACTACACTCTTTGCCCCTGACCAAGCTCCTCACATATCAAAATGCTTCACAGTGACCTCCATTACTGTCTCTCTATAAACAGCAAACTCCTCTATGTCTTCAGCATCTACGCTGAGCTTTTCCTAGAGCTGTCCCTCAAGGACATGGCTGCCCCTATGCCTAGCAAATGTTCAGTACCAGTTGCCGTAGAGTTAACTCCAACTCATGGCAACCCATGTGTGTTAGAGTAGAACTGTGCTCTATAGGGTTTTCAATGGCTGATTTTTTTTGAAGTAGCTCTGCAGGCCTTTCTTCTGAGATGCCTCTGTGTGGACTCAAACCACCAACCTTTCCATCAGCAGCTGAGCTCATTAATCATTGCACTACCCAGGGATACCATGCTTACCAAATAGGTAATCATAAATCAGGGCCAGGCAGTGAGTTTGGTACCTTTTGTCACCTCATGGCTTTTTCCAAACCATTTTTCCTCCAACTTCTTGTAAATAGACAAATCTGCTCCTTTGAGACTTGTCCTTTTCAGCTATACCATCTTTCCTCTCTCATTGATGCTCTTCCCTACCAGTCTTCTCATTCTCTAAGTTTGCTGATGCCTGGCTCACAGTTTTTCTCTCCACTCCAAGCCCTGTCTTCATTCCTTATGATTTCAGTATCAACATGGACAGCTCTTCTAATATTCATTGTCAGTGAAGTCCACCTCTCAGTGACTTGTTCCACTTCCGTAAGCCACTGCACCCATGCTCACGACTTAGACATGTTAATGACCTGTAATTGCTCTATTTCATTCTATCAACAAGTAACATTCATCCATAGATATGCTATCTAGTTTGAGGAAAGCACAGCCTTTTTGCATTTAACAAATTACCTTTCAAAATTTGTAATACAGTCTTTTTAAAAAAATTTCATTATGGTCTGAGGAAATTTTAAACATTTAAATTTATGTGTACAAATTTTATTGCAAAGAAATGTGA